TTCCTTTCGCTTCATACCCCATTGGTTCTTTCCCATGTGACCTTGGTTTGCGACAAGTTCTATCAGTGCGGAGTTGTTTTTGTGTAATTTATTTCCGCCGAGTCCTACACCTGTTTTTTCTCATGCTGTTGTTGGTCTTGTCAACTTTCGATTGGAACGACATTATTCGATCTTTGGAAATCACCAACAGGGTCAAGGATAGAGAAATATCATTATTCTTACTTCATAAGGAGCTCTAAGGGAAAGTGAGTATATATTCATCCCAGTGAAGGTGAAAGTCGTCCCACAACAACTGCATTCAGAATTTTGACTCACCTCCTAACAAATCAAACTTTAAGGAAGGGCCGCACACCGTTGCAAGGTATTCTTCCCTTCTTCTTGCCCATTGCGTCAAAACCAACGCCGGTGCCGTTCAAGCATCCCACGTTGATCAGACAAATGCGTGTTCACACTTCAGTTCTTCGATCCATCTTCCCGCTTTGTTGAGGATCTTACTGGAAGCCGCCTTAATCACGTCCAGCATTGACTTTGCAAGAAGGTCATTGTCCATTCATTGGCGCTGGACTCACCATCTTCAGCACCTTGTTTGCAGAGTGCGTCACTTTGGTTGAATATTCTGAACTCGACACCAGCTCGTACTACTTTACTCATTGTATTGATTTTAAAATCTCCATTTGCATCGCTTTCAACTTTACTGTTTTCAACCTTGTTAACTGCTAGCGTTTCCGGTCTACAGAACAAGATGTTCAAAATATAAGGCCCATAACTTTTTCTTATTGCCGGCATCCAACATCCTTTTGTTTTCGTAACCGGCTGCTCCCTGTTAATGCCAAAGCACGCTACCTTTGAACTCTGTTTGTCACTCGTCCTATTGCAGTCAATGTACCCGCAGGGTGCAGATATTCTAACATCTGCTCCACAATTTCGGTGCTGCGCGACGGACAGCCGCGGGTCTGAGGTTTATCGATTTCCGCACACTTCATCTGGAATTTCTGGAAGTTCAGTTTCTTTAACAAGTATCAAGTATCAAGACATCATGAGGAGATCAAAGAAATATCTGCATCTTCTCGTCAATTCTTTTAATAAAGTTTATGACTCATGCGGCATGTAAGTTGTCAGTTATGGAACTTGAAATTGTTCTACATGGCATTTCATATTTGATCTCATTTCATGACAGCTCTTCGAGCCATGATGATGGTATTGCGGGTAAGTAGAACGATAGTTCCTTAATTATGAACAATGTGGTACGGCAGAATGTTTCTAGGTCCTTCACTTCAGCTATTCCGCAGATGGATTGCAAGGCCAGCCTTACCTTCAACGGAAAAGCTTCGGTAGCTCATCAATGAAAAAATCGTCCTTGTCTACGCATGTACCTCCTTCGATACTATGCCTTTAGCAAATCAACGTTTTTTAGAGTGCTGAATTTCTTCCCATGGGATCCACTGAATTTCCATAACAGTTCAGATCATGAGCAGAGTTTAGATGTACTTTTGAATAAGACCCTTCGGCAGATCCTTTCGTATTCAAATTAAGGCGCACCAGCAATAACCAGAGAAATCGACATTCGTCGAAAGGATTAAT